GAATATCATATAATTCATTTTATTCAAATTTAATGATAATTTATTTAGTTTAAACCAAGTTTGTATTTTAACAAATTCTGTTTGCATCATCCCCATCATTCGTTCTATATCTTTTCCTGAACAGAAACATGTAGAATCATCTGCAAATAATACAAATTTAAGAAGCCCTGACACATTTACTAAATCATTCAGATATAAAAAAAATCAGTCATGTACAAATATAAACATATAATGTAAATGTGACAGATTAACCCAGTGTTTCCCAAAGTTGGGGTCGGGACCCAAAGTGGGGTCCCGAAACATCAAGGTGGGGTCCTGAAAAGATTTTCTGAATTAATTATATTTTTGCCTTAGTTGTCACAAAGGAGTGAGTTTAGTATATTTAAAATGGATAAATGTAGTATAAAAATTATTGTTACTTTGCCCATGTTTTATTGACCTGATACAAATGTTTATCATACAAAACTAGCTGGGGGCACAGGTCTCTGCTACTGTTATTTTGTGGGTCAAAAGCTGAAAAGTTTGGGAACCACTGGATTAACCCATAGGGGTTAATTTTTATCTGCAGTTCCAGATTGACAGTAAAACACTAAATGACAACAAATAAACAACTATCAAAAGCACAGGAATAATAGAAGTACAAGTAATATGATAATCATAAAAACATAAACAATTAACAACCACTGTTTCATCCATTTGGAGAATAGTCTGGTTTGGTAACAAAATGTGAACAGCATTCATGAGGGAGATTCTAAAAAGACTAGAAGTATTTGCAAGGGTTCTTGCATGCATTGCACGGTATTGTTCTTGAGTCAATAGCATTTTAAGCACGTTTGAAAATTTCACAAGGATAACACTTCTTTTTCATAACAGTGCCAAAGTTTTCAAAAGTACCTGGACTTCATTTGGAACCCCTTCTAATTTAGTTTCTGGAATTCTAGAGCACTTTACGCGTAGTTTTTGGTAAATTTGAGTCTGAATTTCACCAGGAATTTGTGCAAACTTGTCATTTGGCATTATTCCAAATGACAATTTGCGTATTTATTTATTTTTATAATCTTGAGCCTTTATCTTGTCACTACAGCTACCCCTATTTTTATTTTTGTGGTTGGAGAGTTCCTGATATAAAATGTCTATAGAGAACTGAGTGTCCAAATGTACATTTCCTGATCAGGATTAGCTCTGCTTAGTAAAATTTGATCTTCAGTTAATTTACCGTAACTTAAGGAATGGGAACCAAACTGTGAAAAATCTTGTAAAAAGCTAATATTCCTGCACATTTAGTCATGTTTTCCTAGGATGATGTTCATACACCTTTTTGAAACCTTGGTAGTTAAAATGTTTTTTACACAGTGTGTGTATGAAAGCAGAGAAAGGGGACACTTTCGTTCACTTTTGCCTTTTGCCCTTTAAAGTAAAAGTTGCAGAAACTTGTGATTCCATCTATTGTTAGTTGAATAATATAAATTCCCTAAAAAGCCAATCACTAAAAAGCCTGGTCTATTATTGTATATAATTTGTGATTATTGTTATCTTGTCTTTGTATCTGTTGGAACAGTTTTTTAAAGGTTTTTCCTTTTATATTCTGTAAATCATCTGAAGCCTACTTCACACTCCCTCCTAAATGTCAAAATCTTCTTGGATTGTCGCAGTTTCATGACGAAAATTACGTCACTGTGTTCTCAGCGTTGATTCAGCCGCCCTTTTTGTCACAAACCACCGGCAGAACTTTTTTACCCCCCCTCCACATAAGACCTCACTGTGTGATTGGTAAGAGGTTTGTGGGAGTGTTTGTTTATGCCTTTAACGTCTCCTACCTGTTGTCTTACAACCCACAGTGGGGTCCTGACCCTAGCGTTGGGAAACACTACTTTGGTTTATTTTGTGGCATGTCAAGGGTTGTAGGCGACTAAAATTGTTCTTTTAAACTCACTTTCCTTGATCAGGAAAAAGTCTGTAAAGAATATTTTAAAAGGACATGTCCAAGGAAAGTTCATCTGTTTAAAATACTGATAATTACTCTGATCAATCTTTCAGTTTTCTGAATACTTGTATGAATCCAGTGTCTTTAGTATCAGAGGCATGACAGATTCTCCTCCATGTATAACTACAGGCAGGATGTTTTCTTTTCTTTTCCTTGTGGATTTCATTTCAATACTTTCATTAACTTTTTAAAGATGTTTTATTTTCTTTACTCAGACTAAAGAGAACTATCTCAGAGACTGTGGCTTGAATAAAAAGGTTTCTCTAACATATGTTCTGGTATTTTTGATCACAAGAAAACATTTACGAATATGTTAAGGCTGTAATACTCACCATCTGAGCTGCTAGTGTAGAGGAGAACTCACTGTTCATGGCGTAGGGGAGAGCAGTCTGAGCTCTGGATCCGTATGTTGTCTGGAAACGCTTCTTGACTTCGCTGAGGAAGCTGAACGCCCGTGATCTCTCAAAGTCCTTCCACAAACAAGACATAAAATATTAAGGATTTATTAAACAGCAATTTAAAGACAAAAAAGCTATCATTTAGTGCGTAACGTTTTACTAAATGTATAGTACTGGGCAAAAGTTATGTTTCCCTTTCAAAGAGTTAGACATTTTCCTGATCTTTTTAAAAATGGTACTGATAAAATGTTTTAGGTTTTTGAAAGGTCTTTTAATGCATTTAGGGATCTGACTAACTTTCACTCAAATTAATTTCTGTCCAGTTTTTGTATCTGGCAATGACAGAACTTCAAACTTATTTGCCCCTTTCATGTTGTCGGGGTTCTATGTCTTGGGTAGAGGAGTTCAAGTATCTGAATGTCTTGTTCACGAGGGATAGGATGGAGTGGGAGATTGATCAATACTCAGGAGGGTGTTGCTTTGGTCGGCCATGGAAAAATTTGAGTTATAAGGCAAAGCTCCAGCTTTACTGGTCTGTTTACATTCCATCCCCCACCTATGTTCATGAGATATGGATCATGACTGAAAGATAGAGATCCTGGACACAAGCAGCCAAAATGAGCTTCCTTTGTAGGGCGGCCAAACCCAGCCTTAGAGAGAGGGGGAGGAGCTTCATCTTCACAATACTGGTTCATGTCTTGAGTTTGAGACTTTTTTATTTCTGAATGGTTTACAGGGCAATGTTAAACGACTTCACAACAAGGAAAAAACAAAACAACAACAACAACAACAACAACAACAACAAAAACCACACCTCTGAAAACAGTTGGATTAAAAATGAGTACACAAAGGCAGTCAAAGATCAAAGAGAAAAACTTGTAAAATCTTGTGACCATTTTAAGAAATAATAAAAATATTTAGCGCCCTAAAAGTAAAATAAGGAGTTAAGAGGATTCAAGACTTTTTCACAATACTCTAGAACAGAGGTTCTCAAAGTGGGGTCCCAGAGGTCCACGAGCCCTATCTTGGGGGTCCTCAAAAATTTTCAATAAATGGTTATTTTGGATTTTATTTGAAAAATGAACATGAGGAAAAAGGCACTAGTAAAACAAACATACTAAACCAAACAAAAACATAATATTCTCATAATATTTAGGGGTTAAAATGACAGTAAATTATTTCTAAAACAGCATGGGTTTTATGAGGGGGTCCCTGGAAACGTTGCACACTTGTAAGGGGTCCTCAGACCCAAAAGGTTTGAGAACCCCTGCTCTAGAATCAAAATGAAAGGAGGAAAATACCAAAACCTCCTATTATTTTACAACCAGTAATTCACAGTTATCCTTGTGCTTACACAGATGTGTGTGTGTGTGTGTGCGTGTTGGGGGGGGAGGTATTTTCTACAACACATGATTTCACGACAATCAAATAAAACAAAGTAGCATTATAAGACTTCCTGTAATAAATACACGCCTCTTCTTGTAAAACTATTTTAACAGCTATGTTTCCATGTGCAAAAATCTTTGATTGAATTGAAATGTGTTTGGAATAAATAATCCAAATGTACCATTTACATGGGCACAAATTTAATTCATCTGATCATGACATTGACCAGACTTTTTTCAGAATAGAAGTACTGCCAGGCGCCGAGTTGTAAACTTTCCCTAAAAACGACCACAGAAGTTCTGCTTCTGTGATGAACAAAAACAAACATTCAAATGTGTCTTCAGATCACCCAGAGTAGACCTGCACTTGGTTTGAATAACGGTTGGAGACGTTATTGCACCCCCTGACAGAGCTCCAGGAGAAGCAACATGTTTTATTTTATTTTATTCTTTGGTGGTGGTGGTGGTGGTGGTGGTGGTGGGGGGGGGACACACGATGCTGTTTGTCTGCCTTCTTTACCGGATGAGACAGCGGGAGAAAACAAACATCCTTGAAAGTTCTGTTCTGCCAGCAGCTGTAGCTATGTTGCTCCTCCCTCCACAAAACATCACAAACCAGTGGATGAAATTCATGCGCAGTCAGGTCAGTTTTCCACAAACAGAATAAGATGATCAGAATAAATGTTTACATGCACGTCGTTCAGATTATCAATGGGCATAAACTCCCCCTCTCATTCAGATTAATTTGGCTCCAGCTGAATCCGATCAAAAATATTCCAATTCGGGCATTTTTATTCTGATTGCCTGCCTTAATTTGATTACTTATGTCTATGTAAACATAGCGAGTGTTCTTCACACATTTATAAGCTGATATAGGTAATATAAAACTAATATCAAAAACTACAATATACTTACATCATCAGTGATGCATAAGTATATGATTCTGTCGTGGCAGATGTAATGAAAAAGATAGCTGAGAAAGGAAAAGAAAAAAGGTTAGACGAGAGGCGAGTCATGCGGAGTATTTTCTAGAGAAATGTCAGCAGAACTCAAGAGACAAAACAATAAAACACTTCAAAGCAGACCTGTCCACAACCGGACTCTTACCTGCCGTGGCTGTAGGTCAGTTTGTTGTTCTCTGAAGGAATTTTGGCCAAAATCTGCTCTGTGACTTCCAGGAAGTTCCCGCCGCACCAGGCATGCTTCGCCAGAATGGTGGTCCCACGAGCCACCACCGCAAACAGGATTGCCATGGCAGTGGGGGTTGTTTTGGCTCTATTACCTGCGGTCAAGTTAAAGAATAAAAGCAGCTGGGTGTTTGTGGTAAATGTTCTGGACACACAGGGGACTGACTGTGTGGACCAGAAAATTTAATATATATGAAGAAAACACGTTAATATTAGCAGTACTTCTGGCACAAGCTAGCTTGCATATTCAAGATATGAGATCTCTCGAGGAATAAAACCAAAATAGAAAAGGGTGGCTGGAAAACAAGCTAGCTAGTTTGTTGTTGTTGAACGAGCTGCGTTGGGAGGCTAGTTAAATTTTATGGAATGTCATGGTTTCTGTATACAAAACTATCACAAAGTTAAACATAAAAAACTGTTACCTCGAAGTATCACCAGCGCTTAATGTAGCTCATTTACTAAAACTCAAACAAAAGTGTATCAGCTGCTAGCTAATCCCTTTCGAGTGACTTCTGCCTTGAGTCCCTGAACCGGAAATTACTTCACTGCCTGCCCTGCTGGGTAATGTAGTTCCTAAAGTCCATACTACTGTGCATTGTCAACAGACAAGTGCACAGTTTGAACTACATGCTTAACACCACCTGTGATCGTCACATGTTTTACGTATTATGGGTTAGAAAAGGGGCCAATTTAGCCCTCTTCTTAGCATTTCAGGAGACCTGCAAGTGGTCCTCGAACCCTTTTTTGTTGTTAAATTAGCAGAAAATTAAAAATAAAATGCACACAGTTATTTGCAAAGTAGTCGGAAAACTTTAGCCAAACATAAACCTTTACAGTAATTACTATTATTGGTCAAGGTGATATGAAATGATAAATCAATGTAAATATGCATTAGGGTGTTGATAAAAACAAATGTAGGTTTACTCTCATCTTTAAGTTTGCTTGAGTTTAAACAACAACGAAATACGTGTAGAAGCTTCTTCGAAGGTGCTTACTGCCTGTCAGACAAAGTTGAGGACAGAAAACCCAACTCAATGTTGACGGAGGACTCTGAAGCAGCATGGCGGGGGAAAGTGAAAAGAAACCGAAGCTTGAAATGGTAAGACGCGTTAGGGTTTTAAAGTTTGTTAGTGTGTAAAAATACAAGATGTTATCATTTTAACTCCGCTGGTAGGTTGTTCTGGTAGAATAGGAGCTAACTTCGACAAATCGACCGCCTGTTTACTCCTCACGTGGGCAGCTGCTGTAGTTAGCAACAACAGATCATCTTAAACTACAATTATATCGCTTGTTATTATAGTTCAACCTCTGAATGTTCATTAATTGTGTTGTGTGAAGATGGATTTTAATATCACGTCAGTAAATGTGTCATCTTTTCAACTACTGCCCTTTCCATTAGCATCATTTATGCGTCTTTTTAACTAGTCAAATTGGTTAAATAAATAAATAAATAAATAAATATCAGACAGACATTGTTATAGCATGAAACTGTCTGCTTTGTTAGATAAAGTATAACAGAGTATAAAATATTATAACTATCTCGGTAGTTTGTTTATTTTTAGTGGAAGATTTATGGAGATGTTGGTTGTTCTATCCCGTAATGATGGCTACAGAATAAAAATTTCTAAATTAGTTTATTTGAAAAATAAAAACATAAATAAAATGGGGAGATTTTTACAAACACTAGTAGACCTATAACTGTCTACTATAAATTTCTTGTACAACTACTGAGAAATTTGTTTTGGTATTTTATACACTAGTTCTTTTGAAAGAAAATCCAAGAAGAATAAAATACAACAAGGCTCCCCTTATAGATGGCTTATAAATAGTTTATAGATAGGTTATCAGTTCATCTGTAAACACTTTATAAATTATTATTAAGTGTTTATTATGCATTAATTAAGGACAAGAAAAAGACAAAACTGTCTGGTTTCTTGTCAAATAGTGAGCCAAATTTGTTCAAATACACATTACATCTAAAGTGTTATATTAAATATTTCAGACAAGGTTTCTATCTTGTAAGCACAATAATGTAATGGAGACACATATTGTATATATAATATTGTAATTATGCATATCCGCAACTATCAAAGGGTTCCTGATTGTAAGACCTGCTGCAGAGCAGAGGAGCACCTAAAACCTGCAGGATGGTGGTCCAACAGGACCAGGACTGGAGACCCCTGGTCAAAATATTAGAATTACTAACCTTTCAACAGTGCACCACACTAAATTAAAACTGAACTTTTTAGATCAAACTTAGTTTTTCCTAATATAATCCTAAAAGTAGAGGATTTTTCTTATTATTAATGAAGATATTTTGATTTTTTTTTGACATGGAGAAATGCTGTTCTATAACGTATTAGAGTATTACAAAGATTTTTAAACTAAAAAACCTGTTCCATTTTTAGCATAGTGTGCTGCAACAAGCCCACAGGTCCCAAACATCTGCCTGACACATGAAAGTCTTTCAACTGTCTTCTATACCAAAGCAAACAAATCCTGTGAAATTAGGTTGAAGTTCTGTTATTTAGCCTTTTTTATGAAGAACTCACTTTTAATGTTTAAATAAGTATTTGTCTTGTTTAAGGTCCAGGTTGATGGGGCCGATGATGGCTGCGTGACGTTCGTGATGCATGATGAAGACCATACTCTGGGCAACTCCCTCAGATATATGATCATGAAGAAGTCAGTGATTTGTTTTGGTTTTTTCAAACTGTCACTTTGAATTCAGCTTATCTTTAACCTGTTTTTTATTATTTCAGGTTTTGCACACACAAACCATCTGGGAGAAACTATTTTCTTTTGATCCCCACAAAAAATAAGAAAGATTATTATTCTTTCTATCACATTCTGCACATATAATTTCTTCTTTGTGTTTTGGTTTGACCTGAATGTGTAGAGAGTGATCAAGATTTTTCCACTTACACGCCTTTGAAGCAAAACATCCAGGATTAGCACACACGCCACTTTCACCTTCCTGTTTTCTTTTATCAGCCCGGATGTGGAGTTCTGTGGCTACACCATCACGCATCCCTCTGAGAGCAAGATCAACTTTCGGATTCAGACACGAGGTCAGAAACCGCATCACACCTTCACAGAATCCGTATGTCTGTTCACCTTATGAGATTACTTAAAGAATGATGGCCTGTGATGATTCTTACAAAAATACTAACAGTTAGTCATTACCAAAGGGTGACGGGACATCAGCAATATTTGGCATCGAGTTCTATCGTGTTGTTATACTGTAGATCTGGGAGTTGAACTGGTGACCTTCCATTCATGGCAGACATTTTTTAACCTCTGCCACCACTTCCTGAACAACATCTCAGTGTCTTCTTTCCATATCCATGGTTTACAATAAAAAAATGAGTTTTCCTTCACTGACTTGTCATCCAGCCACAAAAGGCTTTTTTAAAACATCTATTGAATCAAGTGAAAACAACAGCAACAAAGAACCTACTGCTGCTGTTTATATGTGACATATTCTACAGTTGGAGGGCAGATGGAGAAATTATGATGATTTATTCACCACAACACAATATTATCAATTATTATTATCAATCCTGATCAAAATTTTAAGACCAGTCAAAACATGGCAAGAATTCACATTTTGCACTGTTTAATTTTAAGAAGGTCCTAAGTAGAGCTTTGAAATGCAAAAAAGAAAAAGTGGAAGTGAGACAAAAACAACTGAGTAAACATTTTATTGCAAACAACCAAAATAGACTGTTCATAAGCTGATCAAAAGTTTACGACCATGGCATTTAAAATCCCAAATCTTCACAAACAATGTGTATCCAGTGTCATTTCTCATGATGGCAAAGGCAAAAAAGCTTTTTCTCTTTGAACGGGGTCAGATTGTTAAGTTACATAATCAATGCCTCTCTCTGCATGCCAGTACTGCTGAGGTTAGATGCAGTGAGTCATTTTAAACTTCTTAAAATTTCCTGAGAGTTATGGAATAAAAAAGTCAAATGAACATGCAAAAGAATTTCTCCGGCCCTGAGCTGGAGGATTCATTTGGCTGTCTGTTAAGACACGGGACGATCTTCGGCTCACATTAAGCTCATCACTGGTACTAACTACAGTCATAAACACCAGACAGTATCTGCAAGAGAAAGGTTTTAAAGAGTAACTTACCCCAAAATTAACTTTTTTTAGCTGATAAGCTGTCTAGAATGTGTCTAAAATGTTATATAGTACTGTTTCTGTGCTAATTGTGATGTTTTTGTGCGTAATTGTTCAAATCTGTAATATTTGGTCTAAAAACATGTTTTTGCTGCTCATATGGGTAGAGCAGTGGTACTGCAGGCTAATTTGCATATTGGTTAACGGCTCTCCGCTGTGACGTGCTTCTCCACGGTTTCGTCACAGCGGCTGTGTTCTGATATAAAAGCCTCTCTCTAAGACACGCCCCTGCAGCAGTCAGAGGGTGGAACAGTTAGCAAGCTTAGCATGATCGTCTGTTGACCTTCAGCCTCGAGTGGGGAGAGCTGACTGCTGCACTTCCCCCCCCACCCCACCCCCCACACACACACCAGCAGTACGTCCTGCACAGCGGGAGGGGAGGAGGGGAAAGGGAGGAGGGGAAAGAAAGGCAGCGGGCAGCAACTTGTACAGATTATCTGTAAATTATAAAGATTTGACGTCATTTTGCAGGTATACGGACGTATAGAGCAATCTCACGGATTTTTTCAAGTCTTACGGATATTTCAAAAAACCTCATTTTCAAATTTATCTAACATGTCAGAGCTTATAGGATGATTTAAAAAACAATAAAAAACATCAAACAGCCATCTTCCAACC